GACGATTAGGTAAGTGATGCCTCCAGAAACAAGCTGTTAACAAACAATTTTGTGTTAATTTGTAAAAAGTATTAATTTTTTTTAACAAAAATAAATTTGTTTTGGAAAATCTCGTTTACTTATCACAATAAAGTACTCATCACTCATCCAGTGGAACAAAGACGCTACTACAAAATTTTAGATAAATGGTTTATCACTTGCAATTGTCAAAAAGAGGTGATTAATCGAATCATAAACGAAATTTTAATGGATACAAGAATTTCACACTGGTACAATCAATTATAAAAATCATGCTATTTAGATAATAATAATTCTAAATATCGGCCTCCTCTATAAAACTTTAAGTATGAATGACCCGCAGTTACGTCACCGGGTGAGTAATATGAGTCGTTTATAATCAGAAACGTAACTTCCTTTATTCTAAATTTTAAAATAGAAAAAACAATTACAAAATATTTCTTTTTGAATAAACGAAAAGTTTGATGACGGGATCTCGGAATGGCTTAAAGTGGCGATCTCTCCCAAGGATTTACACCTCTTAACGGAGTTCGACAAGGAGATTCCCTTACATGTCTATTGTTCAACTTATGTTTGGAAAAAGCGGTCAGAGAGACAGGAATCCAGACAAGAGGAACCATCTTCAATCACACTATTCAATGCTTGACTACGCCGATTATTTAGACATCATAGGAAGATCGAGAACGGCTGTAAAAGGCCTTTCTTGCCTTTGAGTCATCTGTAAAAAAAATGGGTCTTGTCATGAACTCTTTGAAGACTAAATACATGTTCATTAACGAAATCAAGCCTCCTGATGAAGTTATCGTACAATTTGGGTCCTACACATTTGAACGTCTATATATATAATTTACATATCTAGGCGCCCAAGTAAACGAAAATAATGATATTTCGGCTGAAATGAGAATAAGAAAAGCATTTGCTAATAGATGCTATTTTGGATTTCGCCGACAGTTTGAAAGAAGTTTACTTTCCAGAATTACCAAAATAAGACTGTACAATGCACTCATCAGGCCTGTAATTACATACGGATCGGAAACATGGGATTTTTTTAAAAGTAATATGAGAAACCTTTCTATGTTCGTAAGAAAGATTTTGCAACGTATTTATGGTCTACTAAGGGAGAACGCCACATTGAGAAGGTGAACAAACAACGAATAGTACTCCTTATAAAAGGAAACAAATGTTAAAATTATAAAGCTTGGCAGGCTTCGATGGACAGGTCATGTGGCCAGGATGGGAGCACAAGAAATTCCTTGGAAACTACTTGATGAAGAATTACATAGGAAAAGAGCAAGAGGACGCTCCAAATTAAGATGGGCTGATGGTGTAAATGAAGATTCGAGAAACCTGCTCCGTATTCGAAGCTGGAAGACAGCAGCACTTGACTGAATCAACTGGCGAAAGCAGCTTGAGAAGATGATGGGTTGTAGAGCCGATTCATGATGATGATAGATATAGAAGGTAATATGTTTAAACACGCAGAGAAGTTTAGATATCCTAAGTTCTACGATAAATAGAAAAAACGAAATTGAAGAGGAAATTAAGGTTAGGCTGAAGGAGGGAAATGCTTGTTATTTTTTCTGTGACAAAACTACTTAGCTCGCACCTCTTGTCCCGGAACTTAAAAACTGGAATCTATAAAACCATTATCTAACCTACAGTTCTTTATAGATGCGAAATAAAAATTGTAAAGGTTAATACTTACTGATACCAAAAGCCTCCGGTTCAATGTAAGAAAACCACACAACACCATGTCCGGATACCGCAACCAAACTGATTGTATAAACATATTGACCTGTAAAATAGTTGATGCCATAATGTCAATTTAAAGTATTGAATGAATGGGATATACTAATGGGTTTTAGTTGATTATAAAAATAGAGTGATTTAAACCACTAATATTATTAATGTTAGCTACATATATCGTCAGAATAGTGTCATATTGATATTTATTACGTTGCAATAGGTAATTATCGTGAGTAAATGACCGTCGCACACTAGGGCGAGCCAACGCTACGATTAGACATTGGGTTTTGGAGAAAAAACAAAAGGGGCAATTATGAAGTTTTACTGCATTAGTGACAAACTAATACCGTTTTCCCCTCGTGTCCAGTAATTTTATCTTAATTATTTGCATTAATAATGCACTGATCTAAAATAATAGGGGAGGAAATGAAAACCATCTTTTTTATGTTTAGAGCTGGTTTACCGGTATCTTTTGTTTAAACTTAACGGTATGTGATAGGCATAATAATTTACTTCTATTGAATCCTAAGACAGCTTAAATATAGGTTTTTAAATATATACATAGTTGTTACGATGTCTCAAGCGATTTTGGTTCATTTTACAAATCACCCGAAAAAGAACAGATAGATCCTATTATTAACAAAGATTTGAACTTCTAAAAACAGTTTTCAGACCTTGTGATGGAAAATGGCGACGTCTATATCGGTGGATAACAATATATGAACAGGAAATATAGACCGATCTTTAACTAAGAGAGTTGTCAGATCTCAATATTTACCAACAGATATTGTTGAATCTGAACGGCAAGCTGACAGCGGAACTTTTCTAGCAGCAGGAAAATCAGCAATGATTCTGAAAGTAAATATCTCAAATAGAAAATAATGACAAATTGAATAATATAAGGACAAATTACGCAATATTTTTTAGGGTAGAGACTATAACGAGAAAGGCTTTTGGTTCGAAGATAGTGGAATTATATCCACTGTAATACTTTGTGTGGAGAATTTACATGTCAATTTTAAGAAAGTAGCAACATTACGTGATAAATCAAATTTTTGACTCACCGAAATTTTCACCACTTCATATGCCCCAACTGACTGATATGATAGAGGGACAAATGCATATTTTTATTAAGAAGAAAGATATAAATATGGTTGTCTAAATGCAGTCAATATCTTATATTTTACTAAAATAATTTAATAAATTAGATATATTTATAACGCTGAGTATTTGGAAGCCCAACAAATTTGGCCAGAAACTGTTTGTAAATTGTTCTATCTGTCAGGAAACTTTCCGGAAAAAAACTGTAAAGGACTTCATCAGATCAGACTTAATTATATCAAAGAGTTTTCCTTGCAGTACATTCATTGGTTTGGAAAAATTGTTTGATGGTGAATGAGAAAAACATTTTTGAAGGAATAAATCATCTGGGAATCATGAGAAACTTCGCCAACATTATCTGAGTCTTTCTTGCTAAGAGGTCATTGAAATTTATGTGTTAGATTAGAAATTTATTTATGAGTTAGATTAAATTGTCCCTTATAATGGTCTTTTTTCACATTAAAATTCTACATAGATATAAAGCAAAAACAAAAAAAAAAGAGATTATTGAAAATATAACAATTTTATAACAGGCCCTCCAATAATCAATACTTTGGAGCTTTTCGATTGTGGAGAATCTCTTCGCATGAGTTAAACATCAGTAGGCTATATTTGGTTAAGGATATTTCTGCTATAAATTTATTTTACAGAATTATTTTCTTTTAGGTTTTAGATTGTTTTGATAATCATGAAGTGACGTTATATGATTAAGAAACCATAAAAAAATACCAAATATTATTGATTCACTGCAGAGATATCACCCCTTAATAAAAAAAAAAATTATCTTATTGGTTTTCGGCTAAGTGCGAGGCGCTGGGATCTCTTGGAGTCCTGTCTTTCCTTCCACGAGTGGGGAGAAAGGCTTGGCTGTGAGTTCTTCTGAGTGAATGGATTATGTAAATATTGTATAGTATGCATGTGTTTAAGTTGTTATTTTGATTAGTTTATTTCTTTTTTTTATATACATTTACTTTGATTATCATTATTTTCTGTATTATTTATCGTAAATAGAGTGTTAATGTGCTCTCTGAATACTATTATAAATGCCCTTAATTGTAAGAGATTGTAATATTTCTGAATAAATAAATAAAAAATCTTAAATTAAATATTCGTTTGTGTCATTCCCTCTCAGTTGTTATCGGTTCCTATAAAGTTTCAGGAGGTTAGCCTCTTCTTGGACGCTTGCATGTTTTCATCCATTTAAACGTGATGGATGTTTGGAAGTGATGGAATGGATAAAAGCTGAAATTGTTTATGATTGGCTCTAATAATCATTGGATTTCCTTATCATTGATGTAATGAATTTTAAATTTATTGGAAATGTAACAATTTTTGAGACGGAGATGTTTCAACATTGGAATCCATAGTTTCTGGTAAAAACAAATGGATTTCGCCTGAGCATAACGAAAAACAAGAATAAAAGATAGAAAGTGACTATAATAACGATAAATAGACTATTTCCAAGATGTCGTGGTGGCCGAGATTGTCAAATCCAGAGACCTGGACACTAACCAGTACTCTAGAAAAAAGTGTTGAAAGATTTGAGAGGAAAATCCTCCACACGATAACCGAAGCGATCTGGGATCAGAGTACTAACACATAGAGAAGAAAGACCAACAAAGAAGAAAAGAAGCTTACAGAAACTGGTCAATCAATACCCCGTGATATGAAGGCACGGAGGTTAAGATGGGCGGTGCATGTAGCTCGTAGCAACCCATCTTGAAGCCTCTATGAAACAACAATGAATGCCTCAATAGAAGGCAAAAGACCACCTGAAAGACCAAAAAGCAGATGGATAAATATAATCAACAGAGCTGCTTACAGATAAATGGAAGGAAATATCCCAAGAAAAAAAGAGATGGAGCAGGCTTGTTAAAGCTGCAAAAGATCTATATGATCTGTAATACTATCAGAAAAAAATGTATATACATTGTAATCCTTAAAAATACTAGCTTAGACCTGAAGAAAAGAATCGTAAATTGAAGATTATACAATTTTCAATTTAGGTCTTCTCCTCTAGCCCGGAAAAATCTCCACATCGTCTAAAAGGTGAGGAAGGGGTGGGAAAAAAAAATAATAATAAAGTTCAATTTAGTGAACTTCCCTTAGCTGCCAAAGGATTCATGATTTAACATTCAATCCTAAAAACATCACAACACATTTAATGAAAATAAATTATAATAAAGGATTTTTTAATAACACCCTTTTGCTAATTACCTCTCTATAGAGTTGCTTTTCTTGGGGCGATGTGTTCAAACGCAGCAATTCTTGAAGTAGGTCAGAACCAACCTGGAAGATTTTCAATTCATTAATATCGCTCTTATTTTTCTTTCCTAAACAATAATTAAATTCTTCAAAACCCTTAATATTTGATCGAAATTTCCAAATTAGAATTTTTTTAATAACTCAGATATAAATTTTTTTAAAAAGAAATATCTAAAGTAACTAAGAAATAGATAGCATATTAAGCTTTTTTTGGTGTCCAATGGGTCAGTGAACAAATAAATTGGGGATCCAAACTAAATAAATTCAATGCCAAATAGTTAATCTAGATTATCGTTTGAATTTCTCTTGTATAAAATGATATCATTATACTAAGGTAGATAATGGTGAAAAAATAACGTAACGTAAATTTTATTGAATTCTGTTCACTAATTTCTCGTATATATGCGCACATGTTTCCTTGATGCGTCTATATCTCTAAAACCGCATGTTCATTTTGGCTCAAATTTGGAGGGAAGTTAGGGATTGGTGAATAGATAATCAAGTAGGTATGAATTTTATCGAATTCTATCCACTTCTCTTTGAAAAAATACTTTCGCTTTCAAGTCAGCAAACATATTATTTGGAAAGTCTATAGTTTAAAAACTACGCGTTCAATTTGACCCAAACTTGGAGGAAATTTGGAGAATAGTATAGATATTTCCTAATATGAATTTCATTGAATTCTATTTAATAATTAAAATTAATATAAATAATTGTTAACAATATAATGACAGTGAAATGTGAAAGGCACTGATCATATGGAGTAGGAGTTAGGTTATGACAATATTTTTATGGGATTATAATATTTTAGATTTTATTCAAAGAGTTAATTTATACTGTATTGTTTCAACGATCCCAAGCGTGTCGTAGATCTCGAGTAATTTTCAATAAATTTAAATTCGTTTTCATTCTGATTTTGTAAAAACGAAAAATCTTATTTGTGATTGTGCTTATTTTTATTGAAGTTCAACCAGATCGTCAAGGTACAGAGTTTATATGTTTTTATTTTTATATTCCAGCTTAAATAGTTTTGTTCTGACTAAAGAAAAATATTAGTTTCGTTAACTCTGAAGGAATAAAAAGTTTAGTTTTTCTTATTTCTTTTATTAAATTTTTCAACATCGATTTTACGAGTAAAATCATGCCGATTAACTACATATTACTACTGTTACTGCCAAAGGTTGTAAGCATTCTGCTACGATGAAAAATAGTACAAATTAATAATACTAAAATGGCTAACTTATTCAAATAAACAAAGTCAGAGAAACAAACATTTTGAAAATTTGAATAGCGTGTATCACAAAAATGATCGTTTTCAACCAAATATTATTATTTCTTTGATATAAAATACAATTAATAGTCTAAGTATAGTCCATTGTTATCTACTGTCATTAGCCACTGCTAGCCATTTTTTGGGATGGCTGTCAAAGAACTCTTTGATTGCAATTTTAACTCCCGCAAAATTATCATACTTTTTCCTTTAAATAAAATGGGCCATGGATCTAAGTAGTAAGTAGTAATCCGATAGTGCGAGGTCTGGACAATATGGATGGTTGATGAGGCAGGAGTCTAATATATTTTCAATAAACTTTCACAAATTTGTAATCTCTTAGCTGGTTGCTGAGGAGTAAGTTTGTGAGAGACCAGTTAATGGTCGCCTGGAACCATTCTTCCTTTCCAATGTCGTAACTAAACTGCATTTGTTTTCAAACCAACACCGCACAGTGCGCTGGTCAAGGACACTTCACTTCATATTTAATAATTTCACGAGTTGGCTGTGAATTTTTTTTTTCCAGTAATGCCTTCAAATTACGAGAATTTCGTAAGAGATTGTCATGTTTCTTCTTTGAAACTAATAAGTAAACTGAATCATTTTTTGAAGAAGTCGAATAGAATTAAACAAGCTTAGAGAATGCTCTAAAGGAATTATTAAATATTGGTAAGTATTAAATAGGATTAAAATATTTACAGTCCTTTGGAATCTTGAATTTGATAAAACGGTCATTATTTTTGTATACACTCTATTAACATTTAGAGTCTGTCAGACAGGGCCATTTAATTTTACATAGATATGACGAGTTTATTTAACATCGTTGAAGCTAAAACTGTAACTAATAAAGTGTGAAATCAATTATATAAAATGACATTTTATCAAAAGGATTTATTCAAATATTCCAGGACTTAGAGAAGTACTTCCAATTTCGAAAACACACATTTTCGTTTTTGAGTTATTCTGTTCACAGACATACTTTGTGAAATTTTATACGTATTCCGAGATTTTTTTCATGTTCTAGTGAGATCATAAAAGTATTGATATCATAAGAGTATTGCCTTTTCCTTACTATTTCATCTATAGATAAGTGAAAGCAATAATTTATCCCTGAATAAGTTAAGTTGCCATCCAACCTTTCATAACTAGACATTATCCGCTAATACAAGAAGAAAGACCCATCTGAGCTATCAGAGTATTATTAACATGTGGTTTAATCTAATTGGTAAAATGTTAAAATGAATAATTTCACTTATCAGGAAAAATTATCCGGATTGGTTCAGAAGTCGAAAGTGTTGAAACCTAGAAGGATGGTAACGTTCATGAAAATTTTAAAATTTAGTAGGTTTTTATTTACCAGTCGTATATTTTTTTTGCACATTAAATTGCACCAAAGATACACAGAATAAAACGATTTAAAATTAGATTTTTTTTTTTTTCCTAAACAGACTTGATAATATTCCGTGAACAACTTAACGATACTAATCTGACAAGTATCATAAATATTACGCATAATTTTCACTTATTTTACAGAAATTGGCATTGAGTATCTTTTGTTTCTGTTGAGTATCTTCATTGAGTATCCTTATCTTATTGAGTATCTTCTGCAATGTATTCTTACTGTTAGATTGGATTGAGTTATTGTTTTATACTATTTTCATTTGAAATCATTTCGGAAAGATGAAAGTTAGTTACATGATTGCAGTAATTGAGTATATACAAACAGAATTTGCTTTAAAGCCATCCACAGCTTTCATAGCCAATTAAAACCATAGCTCAACCATTTTTCTTTTATACGCAGTTATAGAGATGTCGTTTTAATAAACACACATTTATGTACCAAGTAGAATTAAATAACAACTAAATTTAGTTCATCTCTGTAAAGGAGGTATTTTTATTAATAACATAATATTTTGCTTTAATTTACGTAACAGATTTATTCTACTTTACAATGCTATCTGTAAAAAGAGATGCGATATCAAAAGATAGTATTTCATTATAAAAGAGTTTATAATTACAGCCCAGTATCGTATCATCATCATTGGTAATAAAACATTGTAGACAAAGCAGGGCAAATTTATTTCGAATAATGAATAGTAGATAGCGATTAAAAATAATATTTTTTATTCGTCATTCATTATCTTTTTATTCGTTATCTGTTAATTCGACAAGAATTTGATTACTTATTGCTTCTAAACTCTCTGAACACGCCTTAACCTCAAACCACACATTTGACTTTGACAATACCTCCATTCTTGCCACAGTACCTAACCACGACAAAAGACTACTTACGGAAAGTGTTTTCATTCAATTAGACTACAAACCACTAAACTTAAAAACCGACAAGCAAAATCTATCACTCGCCTACTCCCAAATCATCAACATTTTAAAAAAGTCTCGATCATAAACCTCTATTTAATCTTCTCACTTCCATTTATACTTTCTTTTACTTCTCCTTTTATATATATAATAAATAACAATATATATAGTGGGTCTATATAATAATATATATATAATATATATATATATATATAATATATATAGATTTGTTGTATAATTGTTGTTTATTATATATATGTATATATAAATTTAAATTTATTATATATATATATATATTAAAATATATTTATTAAAATTTATTATATATATATTTATTATATATATGGTTATTTTTACTAGAACTTTTTTTTTGACACTGCTAACTAGAGTTTTTGACACTGCCAGTGTTTCAACCGCCTCCCGCAGTGCCACATCCAACGGTATGTTTTGACTTTTATTGAGATTCCTTTCTTAACACACCTATCCTTCAACTATACACCTTATTATTATCTTCATATAGCCTACCATTCCATTACCGCTTTCAAAAAACTAAATGTCAATTGTCATCTATATATAGTACAACCTGTTTTTTGTTTCTTTATCATCATAACCTTGTTTTTACATTTATTCTTACATTTTAAAGTATTCTTTTAAAATTATTGTTTTCTTATAGAGTTATTTATACTTAATAATCTATCCCAACAATATTACACTAATGTTACCCTATTAATCTTTCAATTTCTTCACTTCTTAACCTTTGGTCCCGTTATCTGTTTATTTACAATTAAAGGTAACCTCCACTTGCTTGTTATCCACTGATATCTTATTATTATGTTATCTTATCCATATTTTAACTTTACTGTAACAATAGTTATTCAATTTTCAATCAATTTATTCGTTAACATTCATTTATTCGTTAACATTCATGTATTTATTTTCTTTTATCTATTTTCTTATCATGTATTTATTTTCTTTATCTTTTATTTCTGTATCTGACAACTTCTTCGTAATTTATATATACTTATATTTATTTTTTATTTATTTTTATTTTTTCAACATGTTTGTATCTTTTGTAGCCCTGAAGACGACCTGCAAAGTGGGTCGAAACGTCGGCAAAAATTAAAATTATTTATATATTTTAATTTTTTTTATTTTTTGACCGCACCCTCGACTAATTCCTTCTCATATCATATCAACGGTCAACCAACTCTACATCATTATGAATACATTACCACGGGGTCAACATCAGGATACAAACACTCAGTCCATACGTCGCAGTTCCAGACTTAATACCAGATCCAACAATCTACAACAACAGTCATCCGCACATCAGAACCTCTCTGTTCTTCCCACTCGTCGCAGTACCAGATTTGAAATATCTTCCAGAACTTTTCATCACGCAGCACCGTTATCTAATAACTTCTCTTCACACTCTTCTCCATCTTCATTTAACAATTCGTCACAAGATGACACATTGAC